GATGAGAGGTGAAACGTCTTCAAGCAACTTAAAGAAGTCCAGACGCTTTTCTTTGCAAGCTCCTTGGACTACAATGACCTGGATGACTGAGAACCTTCACAGACTCAAGACAGATTACTACTTTATGAGAGGTTTAATGTCCTGAAAGCTGGATGTTGTTGTGAATTTTAAAAAGTGCCATAAGCCTTTTAGGTATATTAGTCTTCCAGGACTGTTGTCAGACCTTATTGAGGGTTCTGGGATTTGTGTGGCAGAAAGTTCTGTGCACAGCTGGCAGAGTTGTGACATAGTCAGTTCATTTGTTTTAGTATTGGTTTATAACATTTTGTGTAATTTGTTAAATACTATTAGGTGTAAATGAGGGTTAAACTGCGAGCACTCAAGTATGAATTCAGAGAATTCCAAAAGTGTGCATGAATGATTGAGTTTGACCAAACAAGCTGTGTATTTTAGCAAAGATTTATTATTTGGGACAGGCTATATGTTGATACTGTAGAGTTAAAAGCCTTTATGAAGCCTAATTTGTATTCCAAAGTTTAAAAGATTGAGCTTGCCAAATAGCAGTTTTTTTTGCAAAACTGTATGAATACACTGCACTTTGTGTTAGGTGACATTTCCTTAACATCTGCAGCAAAATGAGGGATTTGGTCACAACTGAATGCTGATTTGCCTGTCATTTCAACTCAGATTATTTGCTGTTTAAGGGTTTTCTGTATATTAATGTTATCATCAAAGTGTGTGAAGTGTTACCAAGCCCAGTTAATACTTATTTCCAATTATCCAGCAGCTCCACAGTGCTTTTTCATCACAGATGTTTAAAAAAAAGACAATTAACCATAAGCTATTACGTGACTAGACATTTCACTCTACCATCTTAATCTCTGTTCTGTGTATCTTCATCATTATGTTCCGTGTTTTGTTTTTTGCTAGTTTTATTTATTGTTTTCTATTCATTTGCATTCCATATAAAATTCTCAGGAAGATAAAAAAAACAATGTTTAACGCTCACATTTTTGTTGTTGTTTATGCTGGTGGCTATAAAACAATTTTCGGCATTTAAGGGTGTCTAGAATGAACAATGGACAATGAATGAACAACTAACAAAGACCGTCAATAAATGTCCTCTTACTATTGCAGCTATTGCCCCTGTTTTACTTAAAAATGGTTTTGATACAGAAAAAAACGTACTTTTTACAGACTTATTATGGTGACCCCATTCGGAGAATTGCTAACTATATGTATATATATAATATGTATGCATTTTTTGCAAGAACCTTTTAAGAGAGGGCATTCACTCACTGACCACTTTAAAAAAAAAAGGGGGGGCCCTTAAAGACAGAAAGGTAATTTAGGGGACGTTGAGGCATGTTGTTGGTACCATGATGTTTTGGGATTTTTCCCACACCACCACAGGGTTAACAGAGGAGAGTCAGAAGAAAATGGAAAATATCCACTTGGCAGCATTTCTCTGGGTGACAATGCCATGCTGATGTCGGAGGTCAGAAGACAATGGCCATACCACTTCAAGCTAAGTAACTGTGTAACTCGGGGCATGAGTTACTATACATACCTAGCATGCAGCTATGTATGCACAAGAGTATTTATTCTGGCATGTCAAATCTTGAAGCAGATGGCCTAAAGCAGCCACACCAGGTGCCACTCCTTTGAGCTAAGAACAGGAAACTGTGGCTACAATTCAACAGGATATTGGAAGAATGTTGCCTGATATGATGAGTCTTGAATTCTGCACAGACATTTATGGTAGGACGTAAACATCATGAAAAGCATCATGATCTATACCGCCTTATATCAATGGTTCAGGCCACAGATGGTGTTTAAATGGGGTGTGGGATATTTTCTTGCTGTATTCTGGGCTCTGAACAGTGTTTAAATGCCACATCTTACCACTGCTTTATGAGCACAATGTGAATGTGTGAATATTTCCAGCACCTTGTTGAATATTTGCCACAAATAACTAAAGCTGTTCTGAACACAACAGGCGCTCCAACCGAATACTAGCAAGGTGCACTTAATAAAGCATAAATAGTCATCACTCATTGTAATACTTAAATGGTTTTTATTTAAATCTTGAAAAATTTGAGTGACAAAATGTTTTTGTAAATATCCACAAACATTCGTTGCATTTTCAGAATTTTTGCACATCGTCAACAACGGGAAATAATCACTTACATGAAGCAGATTGATAACAACAGTGAAGAAAAAGCAGAGTGTCCGTGTGCATGCATGCTGTGAGGACATAAATCTGTTTACACAGTCACATTACGAGTACCCATCTCCCTTTAAGCAATTTTAAGTTGAAGCCTCGCCTTAAGGTTAAGGAAAAGGTTCGCTTTAGGTTATGGTCTCGGAATAAGCAGCTATTATATGGATGAGTCTCCAGGAAATGAGTATCAGCCAAAGCAAGATCCTCTGAGTTGAAAACAAGACTTTGTGTGCATGAATCTAAAATAACCAAAAATGAGGCCAATCAGTAGAAATTCTGAGAAAGCAAGGGAGGCGTAATACGCGCCTAACAGGTTTGCTGTTACTTATTTAAGTAAAGCTATTGCTACTCTGGAACTCTGTTTTTACTGTACCTTACTACACCTAAACCCTAAAGTTATCTTAACCTTTATCCCAATCCTTACATCCTTACTCGCTCCATTTAGCCCAGTAATAGCCCCCACTCTATTTGAGGCACCAGTATCACGACAGAACTGGAAGTTCACGTTAGAAGCCTAACTCATGTTTAGTACTTTTCCATACACATAAGCACACACACATAAAAACTGGTAGTTTTCTCCTGAAAAGTTGAACACAGAGGACCTTTATGTATTCGGTAATGGCGATGGGAATGTCACTGTGGCTGTGGGACTTCCCCTTCACCATCAAACACAAAGCTGTTAATGTATATAGGCACCGTATCCTCAGACCTGCTGTATTATTTTTGCATTTCCAGCACCAAGTTCAAACTTTCCTTATTGACAAATGGAAGGAATTCGCTTGCTCCTTTACCAAGGTTTATAAAGTCTCTTCTCTGTATCACTGTAAAACTGTGCTAACTAAAGCCAGTCCATATGAACAGAATGAAGAAGCCATAAACCCCAGTGTCAACCCTCAACATATTTATTGTAAATCAAAATAAGACGAGGATGCTATTAATGGAAAAGTCCATACTGTTGATTGCAGACCAGTCACCAGTTTTAGAACACCAGCCGCTGTTCTTTTTCTCCTTTGGATTAATGCACCATAACTGTAACATAATATTGTAAATCAGGTATACACAGTACATCTCCTCAGTGTTGTGGTCCATCCCTGTATTTGGTCCAAACATCTGGAGATCATATTTGACTCTTGAAGACTCTATAAGGTACTATTATGCTTCTTTTCTTAATCTGCCTAGCATCTGATTGCATATAAGCACATATAAAAAAAATCTTAACTTGACTGTTCTACTCAGTTATACCCACACATGCACACACATTAGATAACAAAGGCATAGTAAAGCTCAGCAATGGCATCTTAGACAAGATGAGCAATTAAAAAACTCCTGCACACTGTTATTGTGATCGCCGTAATGTTTATGGGTAATTAGAAAATTCATTGTGAATAAACCTTTAATAAAGGTCACAATAGGTCATAATAGGAAGAAGAAGACCTAATAAAGGTCTAACAATGGTGTGCAAAACTTTGCTCTTTTGTTACGTTTAAATATTTGATCTTTAACAAGAGGCAGTTGAGGATAAATCCAGTGATAGATTCACTGCAAAACTGATGTCCTGAGATTAAAAGAAAGCCTTAAACGGCAAGTTGAAGGCACTTATTTAATATTAGAATAATACATTCTAGATACACGACATACGATTTATTATGGTATAAAATAACCAAGGCACTGCCATGATCTGGTCAGATGGTCGGAGACGTCAAAAAATGTGCAGCAGTTTAGCTTTGATAACTTTGTTTTAAAGGATAACTTGGTTCAGTACAGCTGGAGTCTGATTTTAATAGTTTTGGTCATCACTTCTTGTCGGTAATATAAACACTGTGGTAAGAGCAGGAGGATACGCGCTGAAAGAAGCCCAACAGGGCAAGAAACACCTGACGACCTAACATAAAAATCTGCTTTTGTTCTGCCTATAACTACAAAAACTTAATTTGATTTAAAAATAGATAAAGTCTTTCTATTGTCTGTCCTGTCTGTCTTTTTTGTAGCTGTGTTCCAAGAAATTTTGAACATTTTTTTAAGTACAAAGTTAAAATCAGTTATGATTATTATTATGATCGAAACTACAAAAAAGACTCAAAGTATGCTTTCACAAATTACCACACATGGCACATGATTTTCATT